CACCAATCCGCAGGTTTAATATAATGTGCACCACTGCGCCTATTTAAGCTATACATACTGAAAAGGTTAACAAGTAAGTGTACAACATAGTAATAATAATAACATCACTTTGCAAGACAAAAAGTGCCATTTGTATAATTTATCATTCGAGTGTAGTGCTGAGCAAGTAATAAATACGTCTTATATTATTAAAAACAGCCTCTTTACTTGTGTGTGCATTATTCTACAAATGTCTTACGTCTGAAACAAGTAGTTTTTCTCTGTTTCGTCACTCGAACTCGAATTTTAAAAACGAATTACGCTTATCCACGAACCTACGAGTTCTATTTCGTACGATATTCCTATCATTGAACAGCCATTGCTGTGTTTAAAAGAAATGTGAGTTGTCATCCCACCCACCTACAAGCAATAAATATACTGAAAAAAAATCGTTCGCAGTCGGTTGATTCACACTCCTCCGTCATAAAAAAAAAATATTTTATATTAATTATACAGCGCGGCGTAAAGAATGACATCACTGGCCTAACGAAAACAAAAAATTATACCTGTCAACTCCATGTCGAAGTCAACCATGGCGAGGTAGTACCTAATAATATTATTATAATATTGTTTTGTCGTGGTTTCGATAATCGATACGATCGTTTATTATGGTTTTACAGAATTTCCGATGAAATATTATAATACCTAGTCGATATAAACAACAACAACAACAATTAATAAAGTAACTGTGATATTGATATTCGTACTTTAAGCTCGCTTATATTTGGTGTTTGATATTTATTCATCTGTATATATATACATACTTTATGTGATATGATTTTTAATTACTTTTTCCCACTATTATTTTAATTAAGTTTTACTCATTTAACAGTATATAATATTGTATTTAAGTTGTTTTTTTGCCAAAAATTAATTACCGGATCGTGACCGTGTACATTTAAAAAATAATTTAATTTATTTTCTCATCAAGTGAATATAAATTGATTGAAAAATTGCTCTTTCGCTTGTATACATCATAATTATAATATTAAGCCTTCTATTATAGTATTAAACAAAAGTTTTGATTATCAATCTTCCATCACTCGAATATTATATAAAGACAGCAATGATACAGTCTAAGTATACGTAAATATCAAATAAGACAGAATGACTATCTATCAATTTGTTTGAAGTGTATATTTTACGACAGCTAATAAAATATTATAAGAAATTGCACAAATATTTTACATTAAATATTATGCCATTTTTATAATTTGTCAACATTTTTCGTGGAAATAGTGAAAAAAAAAATTCAATGTTAAATAAATCGGTTTTAAGTGTTTTTACGAAAACATGAAAATTTGTTTTTATTCTACTGCAAGGTAAGTTTGTTAATAGTTGCGATGATTGGTTCCTAAATAATTATCCCGTTCTATTAGCCAGTCCACCTCCACATATTGTTATTTCCAGTAACTTATGTATTCCAAGAAATCCAAATTCCTATTAATATTAATTTATTTTATCTATTTTACTGTACAAGTTTACTACATTTAAAGTATGAGTAATTTTACTGAAAAAAGAATCCAACAGAGTATTTTTCAGGGTCATTCAATTTATATGCTAGCACCCAGATGACGTTTAGACTATCTATATAGGTACAGTCCATACAATTTAAAAGATTTTTTTCATTAAGAGTATTGTAGGCAAGTGTTCGTATCTATATAATATAATACAATTCGTTTCCCCTTTAACTTTAGTACCATTGCACTAATTTTCCATATTTTAATGACATTGTTTAACACGGATACCTACAACTAAGTACCCATTTACCTGTTAATTGTGGTTCGTTCCTTTTGTAATAAACTAATAAGTAATGACTTTTAACTAATATTATACAAGCATAGTGTATATTACTTCAATCTAAGCGGATCGATAAAATATATTTAGGCCACACCCTTCTTTCACTCGGATACCATATGGCAAAGGAAGGAAGAACAGTGCGAAATTGTTTTGGGACTGAAGTCTCAGTCAACCTATCGTTTCAGAATTCCTATAACTAATCAGCCTCAACGGTATAAGTAGGTATATGGTTTGGGTATTAATACCTCAGATGCAGCACTTGTATCTGCCGCAGACATTAAAATTAAAATTTTTAAGTTCTTAAACAAAACCCAATCGTATAACCTAAACTAATTTAACGAAAAACAAAAAAATTAACTAAAAGCCATTGCTACCGATGATGTTAATATTCAGAACAATTATAAAAAAAATAAAAATTCACATTGAAAACGTAATTCTTTGTTATATCGACATTGATGAATGTAATTCTTGGTTTTTGTGACTCCCAATAGGACATGTATGTTGCAGATTTCTTATTATAATAAATAGTGTTTCCTTTCATTATATTATTTCCGTACGTTGTATGTTAAAATATATTTGTTTCAATAAGATAACATAATAATATACTACGTACAATTTTAAAAATAAATATCATACAATATAATGTATAGATACTTACGAGTACGTTTTCAATTTAAACTAAAATCTAAATACATTCATTGATATGTACATAATATTATTATTAAAATAAAATTTGCTCTCGTAAAATATATATTTTAAAACCGCATATCAATAATACGTTTACAGCGAGAGGGGCTTCTATAAAATCTTTTTCGATTACACCATAATGGCATTCGAATGCGCAGAGAATATCTTATAATAATTTGATTGTATAGATGAACTCAAGCTAGCTACCTTGTAATATTTTATGGGACAAAACTTACGAGACGAGCAGTTGCAGGTTGAAATGAATAAAGGTAAAAACACTATTAAATAGTTTAATCATCTTCCAAGCCGTTTATGAATAAGAAAAAACAAGATGCATAGTTAACAAACAGTTTTTTTCAAAAACATATCTGTTGGAGCTGTGTACTCATATATTACCTACGTGTATTTTTTTACTTTAACTGTTGTCACTTTTACCCATATGTTTCCGTTTTACTTCTAAGTTAACTCTGTACGCATGAAATATTTAAACTGTATGGAGTCGATCTATTTTATGTTAACTCTCTTATACCTGAAATCAATCACGGTTAACCGAGACATCGATTTGATTAGTTAAAAATTTGAACTTTGGAAAAATTCTGCATCACTTCTCGTACCAAGCATTGTGTGCGTTCGTTGTTTGTCGAGTAGATTTGCTAAACTAAAATAGATACAATACACGTTTATTATTGTGTAACCGTGTAAGTATACATAATAAACAAAAATAAATTCAACACAAACACATTATAATATTAGGCATGTAAAAAAATGACAATGTTACTGGCCGTATCAACATTTTAGAATGTCAACACCCGTGTTCTTATACCGTAGTTCCAAAAATGTTTTATTCAATTGTAGTGGCATAATAATAGACTGACTAAAAACGGTTTAGTAGTTCAGTATAGTTCAGTCTGTATCTTTTCATCTCGACGCGTCATTATTAATATTGTGTTATTTCTACCCACTTATTACAATAATAAAATATTAGTCGAAATGTTTAACATATTAATAACAATCAGAAAAATAGACCCGATAGATTTCCATACGGTACGGATGTAGCGCAAATAAAATTATCCCGTTCGAGTCAACACGTGCCATTACGTATTATAATAATGTTTAGACGCTGGTCGAATTTACCTAATAGTTCGGTGCGTGTTGTCTCGGCAAATCTTACGGGTAAATATATTGTTAATTGATATCATCGTATTTTGTTGTAATTTTTATTTGTTTACTATCGATTTCGATACTTCCAAATTCAGTTAAACGTCGTCGTCGCGTGCCCGACGGCCAAACGTTTACCAAAATAATTAATTCACGACAACAATATTATTATTCGGACGGACGGACACCCATGGTATAATATTTTTGTTAACGAGTTTGCAACACGCAACAAATACTGCATCGCATCGAACGAATTCCGTGTGGAGCCGTTAAAGTCGAAACATTATCGTAAATTCGTAAACGACGACGGTCGGCTATTGCGACACGAACACTTGTTGAATGTCTCATTAGTGCAATACTATTAAATTCGTTCTGAAACCGGATTGGCGTGTGTGGGTGGCGATCGGCGATTGGAAATCGTTTGTAAAATCGCACGGGAATCCGGTGGACTTAACGATTGTCTGTGTGTGTGTGTGTGTGTGTGTGTGTGTGTGTAAGGGCAGATATCGACCCGATTATCATTTTTTTCTTTTTTTTTTTTTTTTAGTGAAATTTATAGTTGAAAAGCAAATATTTAAAAAAAAAACAAATCGAAATTAAAAAATAAAAACTTTTCTCATACACTGAGTTATCGTACACGTCTGCAGCAGCCACAGTCCGCGAACTCGTGTAAATTATTTTCTCCAACTCGCCCACCCGACTTTGCGCTCGTGTGTTCTCCCCTAAGTACACAATACGCGGCGCATAATATTAACTGCAACACAAATACAACGATAATATAATACAATACCAAACACCCGCGCCGAACGCCGCCGGTGTTTTGCTCGAAATCGTTGTGCACAGATTTGTGGAGTTGTAGCATATTATTGTTGTTGTTGTTGTTGTTATTATTATTATGTGGGGTGTAGCATATTATATCATCGCATCATTATTACTGTATTATGTATGCGTGTGGCGGGGGGGCGGGGGTCGTGTTCGCTAGAGGTTTCCCCGACGACTGAGTGGGTCGGGACGGCGGGTGGGACCCCGCGAGAAACGGAAAAACGGATTTCCTCGGCGGTTTTCGGGCGAGTGTATACATCGTTTTCGAGCGTGTATAGTCGTCGGGTGTTGACGACTCGACGGGGTGCAGCCGCGGGCCGAGGGGCACGACGGCGGCGGCGGGGGGGCGTAAGCGACTCGGAGAAGGCGGGGAGGGCCGTGCCGGTGGAGGCACGTAGGACCGCGTGCTCAGCTCCGGCGGCGGCGGCGTCGGCGGCGGCGGGTCTCGCGTGTGCGTGTGCGTATGTGAACGTGTGCGGTGCGTGTGTGTATCGGTTGGCTCTCAGTTGCCGGCAAACTATCGACGTGTTGTATTGTGGTGAAGCCGTGTGCAGCGGAGCCCGCCGTGTATCGTTGTCGTCGTCGTTATCGTCATCGTCGTCGTCGTCGTCGTCGTCGCCGTCGTCTCGTCGTCTCGTACATTATAATAATATAGTGTCCTCAGACCCTCGCTCACCCTCCCCCGGAATTCCGTTCGTGTCCCACACGCTCTACCCCCGTCCGTCCGCGCGCCCGGTCGCGAAGTTTTCTCGTGCGGTTTTTTTTTTTTCATCGCCGAAGCTCGCCGCCGTCTCGTCCATTGCGATTGCGCGAGCGCGGCCCTCCGAAAGGATATCGCGTGCCGAGAAATAACGTCTTCGGCGCTCCGCCACCGCCGCCACACACCCGCCTCCACCGCCACCACCACCACCACCGTCGCAACTGCCTCCACCGCCGATTCTACCGCCTCCACCGCGGCCGGACGGCCAACACGTGGTCTCAGGCGCACGTGCACCGCCGCCGCCGCTGCCGCCGCCGACTAGACATCACGTCCGGACGAGAGCGCGCCGCCGAGACATGACGTAAGTCGCCAGTTTTTTTTTTATCGTGTCGTTAAATCATAATAAATGTCTCCACACATAATACTCAGATCAAAGTACGCCTCCCTTTATGTATATATTTAGTCCGGGAATGCGTACTACGGCCGCTGCAGGTCTGTGCAGTTCACATCGGGCACTCGCACGATCTAAAAATATCAACGTTTAATATTTGACGCCACGCGTTGGAGCAAAGGTCTGCGGGCTGTCTCGACCGAAGATCGAGTAGATCATTACCGACGAACGGTGTACAACGATAGCGGATAATCCGAGATATCGTTCGGCGTTTAATCGGTTTACCGCGCGGTTCACTTATTGGTATACGTGGTCTACTCGAGCCGTTCATTTTTGACTGCCTACATACCTAGGTACACCCAATTCGTTATAGCGATCTGTCCGACATTTGGACACGCGGCGGACATATATATGTTATTAGGTATTTCTGCGACCTACGCGAGTATGTGCTAATTATTACTGTACACCGGTAAGTTGTATTTCCTCCGATATCATTGTCACGACAGAAGTCAGGTGTCGAGGGGTTTTAATCATTTAGAACTGACGTTATGTTCCACAATGTCGCGTACGAGATTTCGACCACCGACGACGAGTGGCTGGTCAACAGTCATACATTTTTCCAGCCAAACCCGTAGCTCTGAAATTTGACGAAAGTTCTGGAATTTATTTTTTGAATTCGGCTAGACTTATCTTACTCGCCGCCTACGTCACGCCACCGAGACAAAATACAGTAAACGACGTTGTGTAAAAATATTTCACGCCGAGTGCCAAGCCACCATTATTTTGTTCGTGTACATCGCCCCACGTCTTACAGTAAATTAATGCGACGACAATATCATAATATAATGTAACACGACGTACCTACTATGCTGTTATAGTTTATTCATTTCGGAGATTGCCGCCCCCGACACGCGTCTTCGTCACGCGACATTTATGCATGCACACGTATGCCGTCATACAGGTACATATCGTTATTATTATTACTATTATTATCGTTGTGTTTACGAATAATAATAATAATAACGATACATACGCACCCGTTTACCGACACTTTGTCCTTTCAGTCTCCATGATATTATTATCATATTGGTACAGTGTTTGTCCCACGGCAAACAGTAAAGTTTATTAGTTCCTTTCCTTGCGTGCATACCCGTCGCCAGACACATTTCCTCTCGTAATATTCCGAGAATATCGAGTGCGATATTAATATGACGGTTTTTTTATTTTACGACACATTCGAGTATCCGATTTTACAGAGTTTTCTTTCGCGTCGTGCGAAACTATTTTTTTTTCTCTACGTTATTATCAATAAAACAAAATATATCGACAGTATCGATTTTACTATAAACGAATTCTATTCGGCGCTATAATATTAATATAGCAAACGACTTTAAGGAGTCTTACCAAATTATCAATAAAGTTCTTGAAGATGAAATACTATGCTCGAGGTATGCTGGTTGTTCACTGCAAAGTTGGATGATTCAATTACACTTATAATATATTTTCGTAACAAACATTTTGATTTCGAAGTTACACGAAGCTAAGCACAGGAATCGTACACGAATCTTACGAGATTATTTTTATTCTATTAATCTTATAAAATATTATAATAAACTAAACATAATACGAAAACCATAAATTATATAGTCAAGAGACATTAATATAAAACTTGTCTACAGTTCGCATAACTCATATTTTCTATATGCAAAAAATACACCTACCTTCCATCATTTCTAAATGTTTGTATGAATAACTGAGTGTCAGAATATTACTAACGGCGTTATTAAATATTCTTTAAAACATTATATATTTATTTCGTGCTGCAATAAGAATTACATAAGTACCGAAATCTATTCGAATATTATATTATACTATGATAATAAATATTATAAGAAACATTCAAGAGAAATAAATCAAATTTCATACGATAAAAGTATTTATAAGACGGTATAAACTCATAGGTATTTATTACCCATGTTTAATTTTTAACTTCAACAATTATTCAAGTTGTAAATTGAATAATAGTCGTTTTAAATTATCGTTACATGTTGACATTATAGAACAAGGCATCAACGGGTTAAGACTTATGAGTTCCTTATGTACTAAAGTACGGAAAGTAACAATCGTTTTGTGTGTACCTACCGTATTTTATAGGTTTTTATTGTGGACGATATAGATAACAATTATTATTATCTGTTATTAAATACAGCGAGACCTCTGAAGAACGGACACTATTGTGACGAACGTACAGGCGTCAAGTATATGTCTCGTCATATAGTGAGATGTTCGAAATATGTGGAATATGATTTATCCTTTTATGATAATATTCTAACGCCCGCTGGGGAAATGTGTTTGAATGTTGAAAAACGTCTATATAAGGAAGTTCAAAATATTACCATTTTATCATTCAAAATTATAGATTACAAACGAAAAACTATTATATTTTGTCTTTTAAAGGAAGATTAATACTTGCGTGTTCTACGCGATTCAATATTATTATTAAATTCCTTATATTATCCTATGGATTTTTTAACTGTTAATAAGGTCTCAGTTCTCCATCTACCTCAGTTGTATAGGTACGTTTACTTCCCAAATATCGTTGTCTTAATAATATTGAATCATACGTCATTTTGTAATGTTTTAATGTTCTGGTTTAACCTTCTACACATACATATTTAACATTCGATGTTCTCGATCGTAATTGGTTTGGTTTTCGAATATCGGACTTCATCTCTGCCATAATTTTTATATTCAATGAGTATTTTACAGTATAATATACGTGTTCATATTATATTATTCATATCGCTTAAATTAGTTGGACATGTTCATCGTACAATAAGTAATAACAATATAGTACTTTTATTTCAAGTTTCGTTTCATATTTGTGTTATGACACACTCGAGAGTATAAAATAATAATTAACTGTTAAAGACATTAATTTCATTATAAGTTCTTCTCCTTTTATAATCTTAAGAGTAATGTACATGATTATATATTTTTAAACACATTTAAAATATTTAATGCATACAACACATTGCATATTGTAGGTACCCATACAAGTAATTTATGATATTTATTCCAAAGACCTATGTCAATAACATGATAATCCTTATTTATTTTTTTGTTTTTATTAATGTTTGAAGTTTCTCCTTTGTGTTGAAACCTTTAAGTCTAATTTGAAATATTATAAACATACTATGAAGCTTTGTCTTCATGTTATTTATTAACCCGCGATATATTGGTCGGTTGTCGGATATTACATAAACTATAAAGATATATCGTGCGTATTTCTCGGTATCTTTTTAATACGTGAAAATAAATCACTAGAATACTAGTGGGTGCTTGGGAAATCGTTTTTTTTGTTAAATGTCAAACAAATACCAAGTTACAACAAAGGTCTTAAAGGCTTCGTAAAAAAAAATAGAGTTATTATTTTTATTTCAAATAAGTTTCGTGTAACAGAAGTGTACTAATCACGTGTTATTATATGTTATAATGCAACATAGCTTTAGAATTGGATACTTTATTGTTTCTATGTACCTTAATATTATAATATTTAGTACTCATCGATATTACTAGACTTGTAAAATTATTGATACCATTGTAATTTTTGTATAGTAGCTTAGTAGTACTCTGTAAGATTTTTAAAACTAAAACATATTTATAAAAAATAGATTAGAATATTATATTGTACCCTGTTTAAAATAACAATATCAAAGCTAGATAATATTGAGATTACATCTTATTATTACATCGCATAAAAAGAAATAATAATATTACAATTTCCAGACGTACTAAGTTTTATATTCAATTAAAATTAATTTTAAAAAATACGTTTAAGTCTTAAAAAAATAGTTTCTGCACGAATATTTAAATCAATATGAACGTAAAATGTCATTTAATAAAATATAATATTATGTTTATATTAAATTGTAGTTTTTGTTTTATTTAATATACATTTTTATCCTCTTAATTTTAAATTTTATTCAAACGATATTAAAAAACTGTACTACAAATTTAATAAATATTTTCTACTTTATTGACGCCGGAATTAATATCTGATCAACAATAATAGCTCAAAACCAAACAATTTTTATTTCATATTTTTATCGCTATAATTTTATACCTATATTATATTTATCCGTTAATTTTTGCATGGGTCTATAACTAATAAACATTTTTATTATGTCCAAACTGAATGTTTAATGTAACAACCTGCTTCTACAATTCGAAATATTATAGGCATTATATAATATTAAGTAAGGTTAATAGCTTAAGAAACATAACAAGTAAAAAAAGTGTAAATAATTGGATTGATAGGTATCAACTCTTTAGAACTAACAGCAGACAGCAATTACATATTTTCACATATCTAGTTTTGTACAAGTCGAAAAAAAAGTTTCACATTAATTTGCATACAAATCGAATGCGGCTATATGCAATATTTCTATACGATAATAAAAAACCGATGGTGATACAATGCAAATAACACTAACAAATTCAAAACTAAAAATATTTAATACTTTATGATTTAAAATTCAAATAAAATATTTATCGAATTCTAATTTAATTTAAAGCGCAACGTACAAATTTCACACAGCTACATATTTCATTGAATTTATTATCACACCAACACAGCTTAAGGGCTTGTTTTATTACACAATTATCCATCAGAAAATTAAATTCGTATTTAACAATTGAATTCAATAATACTAATCAACAATACTATTTTTTAATTTATGAGTTGAATATTAAATAATATCAAATAATGATAATAATAACATATTTTATTAAATTATCTTTTTTTTTTTTTATGTGTGTACCTACAAGCGAATCACTGGTTGATAATATGAACTTAACAATTTTAAAAGCTGGAGTTGAGTTAGTAGTTTAGTATCTTCTCAATTTCGTATCAAATCGTAAATAAATATCCATAGTTTTACATGCCTTAATCGCATGAATTTATAATA